ATTTTATATACTGGTTGAAAAAACTGTTTGCAATCATTTATTATTGAATGGTGTACATGTATGTATAAAGTGTCCGCAAAATTACAAAATGATGTACAGCGCCTGCTTGTTCTGTTCAATGACGACGTTAATTGATGTGACCCGAAAATCTATCTCTTTGTAGTATTCCGATCTTCCGATCATCACATGGCTGAGAGTTCTATTATCTTTCATGAAGTACTAAGGTACGCTTACGTTGTATTCTAATATCATATTAAGTGAATTTTGAACATGGATTATTAAAAGACGCTACTTTCGTCTCTCCTTTTTTGTCTAGGATTTGTAACAGGTTATTTTTAAACTTGGCGAAGTTAAGGGAAATTTTTTTGATTTGTTATTTACACTTTGTTGTTGTAAATAACTTAAAAAAAAAATCGAAAAGTTGGTATCTGTAGAAGTTACCCCCAAACGGAAGTGTTTTTTTTGTAACTGACAGTAAAAGGAAGGTATTTATCCTCATCTTTAAAGGGGGATTCTTTTTGGGTATTTTTTGGGAAAGGGTGGGAGCCGTTGAAAATGCATTTAACCCCTTTGAAGTTAAGTTAAAAAATTTAAAAAACTCCCCTTGGTTTTCTTTGGCTTTTAATGTGCTTTTCAAAATTTTAGAACGTTTTAAAAAATTGTTTGGAATTTTCTTTGGGACGTTTTTTCTAAAGTGGTAAAAAGAATTTTTTGTTTACGGGGGGGGGGGGGGGTTTTTGGGGTGTAAAATTTTTTTAATGTCCGGGTTATTAAGAAAACTTTTTTGGGGAATACTTTGAAAGGTTTCTCTGACTCCGATGATAAAGATCTGGAGGATTAGTAGCAAAATTTAACGAAACTGGTCGACTCATACAATTCCATGTATACGCCTAAATTTTCATTGGATTTAGAAAAAAAAATACAAAAACGAAAAAAGGATCACGATCTCGATATTATTTTAATTACAACTTGTATATTGATGGCATTCATCCTGGTCCTGAAATTGCACAACTTTGGATCTTAAAAATTCGCAAAACTTATCAAAAATCTTCAAGACTAGTATATCCGTGTAAAAGACAGAAACATGTTTGACTGTGAATGGGGATTGCCTCGCTCACATATCAAACGATGCCTGTTTTGGACTGAATTTTAGACGGTAGAAGAAGATACATATGTTACATTCATTATTATTGTCGCCGTTAACGGACTGCGAGATATATAATGAACCTGATTTGAATTTTTTTTACTGTACACCGCCTGCGCTAAGCAAATCAGAACAGAGGATCTAATGCCATATATGATTTTAAAAAAAACTGGACGGCCAATCTTCTGTGAACAAATTATGATAAACAAGATCAAAAAGGAAAGGCGGCGTTCAATGAACGCAACTCCTACACGATCCAGCAACAAGAACCAGTGGCAAGCCCATGATCCGCCATGTTATTCGTCAGTAGTTTGCACTTGACAGTACCGTCCATGAACAAGCCCAATCAGGCCAAGCCTGCAACATTTTCAATTTTGCCGTGTTTGACTTTCTTTAGGGATTCTTACTGTTTCTTTTGTTTTATTTACATGTATAAAGGACATAAAGCACCATTATTGTATTAAGTTTGTAGGCTCTTGCGGGGTTAACATTTTAAAAGGTTCATCTAAAGAGTTAAGAAACATTAGTGTTATTCTTCGTGAAGGAATCTATCTCAAGAAAATACTTTAGAAAAAAAATCGTCAGCAATATTTTGTGGCTGAACGGTGATTCAAAGCATTTTTGGAAATGTAATTTACAAATCAACAAGTTTGATGATACGGTGAGGTGTCCTTGCTCTTTAATCGATTATATTCATACAACTATATACTGTATACCATGGAGTTGAGTGTATGTATATCTGTGTGTATACATATCTACTTATATATATAATAAACGGTGATAATATTTTTAAACTAAGAAAAGTGACAGAAAATATCCTAATACTTTATATCATTCCCAAAAAATTAAATTTTTTAATAGTGACTGAGCCTCGATCACTAATCTTTCTGCTGTAAAATTTTTTTTCGTCAAAATGAATTTTAATTATATCGATTCGGGCGCCCTCGGTTGTTACTGTTCCGAGAAGTGGAGGAAATGGACAGCAGACAGGCTGAAATTTGTGTGATTTGAAATTGGATTGGATTTATTTACATACGAAGGTGAGTCATTTATTTTTTTGCTGCACATTGATGCAAAAATGTTTAAATTTACTGTCTGTATATCTGTTTACTCAAAATATTGTTTTTGTAATAAATTACGACGGTTTATATAGCGCTTCAAAATCGCTGCGCGTTTTGCTAAAGGAACTTATGAAGAAGCCGATAAGACGTTGGAGTGTACGTAGTATGAACGGAAACGTCTTATGTTATAGGACTAAATTTGGGTATGAACATCTCAAACTGAATGCACTGATAAATATGCTGAATTTGGCAATCTCTCAAGACCCGTTACGTCTGCTATTTTTGACGAAGAATTTTATCACAAATATATTCTATTCTTTCTTGAGACAAGCATTCTATAATATCACGTACATGTAAATGTTAATGAAGCTGCAAGTATTGATTCTTTAAATGCCGACCGCTCGACTACGAACACGTGGGGCCATGCATTCCTGCTTTGATAGCGGTCTTTCTCCGCTTTATTTTAATTGTCAACTATTGATAATCATGCAACACGAAAAAAACGTTCAAACGAAAATGAAAATATGGCAAAGTTACTTGTAAATGATTGAAAAACATTTAAAACACGTTTAATTTCAATTCTGTTTTCTTACCGTCTTCCATTTTGAAAATCTACACGTGCTGTTGCGCGCGTTTCCGGTTTAATCATAAGAATAATATAACATGGAAATTTGTAGCTGATAATGCAGGTAACGCAACTCTAAATGTTAATTAAGGACGATCTTACTTGATAAATGATTTATTTTACTTATTTACATAATACTTAAATAAAAATTCATTGAAGAAAACATCATGCCACGAGGAGCATTAAAATACAGCAGAAAAAAAACAAAGAATCGAAAAAATATTTAATTTCTCTTTCAGAAACTGAAGGATGCACAAATAACAATCAAATCTGTCTGTGCTTAAATATTTAAATTGGGGTTTTGTTCTTAATGGCATGTTCCTTTGTCCAAATGTCATTGCTTCAAAAAAAATGTTAAAAGTTATACCGCAATTATGATTTTAGCCGTTGTCGTCATTAACAATTTGCGTTATTATAAATTCGTTAGGCCCTATACAAGTTTTCTATGAAAAAAACTAGCGGATAATATGTGGTTGGACACTTCAAGGCCCTTTAGTATGCCTAATCCAAGTGAAATAGAACTCTGTCCCATATGAACTTATTTATCAAAAAGCTGAACAAGCAAAGGCCATTTAAACAAAAACAGTTAAGTAATATAATTCTTTTTTAATCACAAGCCAATATGTGACTTATTCTTTAGAATATGGACGATACTTAGCCACAAACTTAACAAATACAACCATATGAGCTAATTTGTCTGTAAAAAATAATGTATAATGGAGTAGGGCCCTACACCCTCAACTTTAAATAAATGAAAATACATCAATGAAAAGGCAAATCAAAATAGATTGATTTGTTCTATATCATTTGCTGAATCTTGCTATGTATTATAATGTAAATTATATCTCATCGGTTTGGTTTATTTTTCATTAATATACACAACTGAAAAAAAGAACCACAATTATTGAGCTGAAATTTCATTCAAATTTCGTTTGTGAAAAACGGAACGAATGCTCTTGCGCTATGCGTACAGATTACATATGTCAGGTACCAGTCCGAGTAGCCTGGGATTCAGGCGTTGATATTTTTTTATTTATTCATAACTTACGCGTTATTTCATACTCGATCGTCATAGACAACACAACATCTCTGGTTTTTGATAGTCGATTTGCCGAACAGAAGCACATAAAAATCGACAGACTGGAACCCAGGCTACAGTCCGAGTCGCAAAGCTTTATCCGTCTGTCAGGGTCGTCCGAAAGACATGATCATTTAATTTATTTTGGCAGCAACACCTTGTTTTCTCTATGATGCATATAATGGTCTCGTTGGCCTCCAGTGCATCAAAATACTGTGTTCACAATAATCGACATGCATAACTATCCGTTATCATTCAATGTGAAATTTATAGGTCACTCTTTGGCAGATAATAACATTTTAGGACACGAGTGGTGACATGTCCGGGGTCGGTACTCTCAGTGCTTGAAAGGGCGGATGGACCCTCATTAATTAAGCCTAGAACACACACACACGCGCGCGCGCACGCACATTCCTTTATGCCACGAAAAAAATCTGGAAAAGGGGAGGTCCTTGGAGAGCAATGAAAATAAAGCAATTAAAATTGAAGAGTATGTTTTATCAAATCTGTTCATGACAGTTAATGTAATGTGCAACATTTCTTAAACCACATTGCACAGGCTTAGAAATGGCTCCGTCTTTTGCCCCAGGCGCAATCGTTTATAGGCTGTTATTTATTACTCCCAGTAATATAATTATTAATTTTATTTCATTCAGTTATAAAGAACAAAAAAAATGTTGACTGTTTTGTTTTACTTTGTACAAAATTTAAGGTAATTTATGTATGTCTCATATTGTTTGAAACTATACGTCCAATGATATTCTGTTAAAAGGAGGAGTTTTATTTAATTATGCTTTGATTTTAAATTCAATCAACTTGGACTATTTTACTGTGTGTACATTTAAATCTACGCATATGAAGCAACTTTTTTCAGTACAACACACTTAAGGCTATTTGTATTACTTTTGCTGTACCATACAGCCTTTTGAAAATCTATAATAATACCGATCTATAATTTGATATTTCTTTATTGCTTTATTTTTTTAATAGTGAAATAGAGCTATACAAACGCAAAGAAAAAAATAGCCCCGGTTTACAACCTGCAAAAAGCAACGAAGCATCAAATCAGTACCATAGTTTATATTACTCTTTGTGTAAACTTTACGTTTACAGCACAAAGAATGTTATATTGGATATATTAACCAATGTTTTAAATATTTTCATGTATATTTAGGAATCATGGAATTGAATTTAGAGATATTCCGCCAGAAATATAAGAATTTGTTACCGCTGAAAAATAATGTAAGAATTTTGTTTTTCAAAATATTGTGCTATGATTTTAAAATGTTAAATAAAGAAAATCCAAGTTGTATGCAATTTGATGAACAAGCGTCGTTTTATGTTTATATGCAAGTGACGAATGCTCTTTAAATGAGCTATTGCATCATAAGATACATGTTTAAGATATGTGAATGTATGATCGAAATATAGTGCGATGTTTTTAAAAGAATAGTGAGTGAAAATTTAAAATTAGTGTCATATAAAGGTCAATTTCTAGTTCACATCGTCAAATACAGAATTCTTGCAAACCTAAACAACGTACTTTTTTTAATGTAAAAAAAATAGTATTTATATGGATAATATGATTGTGCTAGTAATGATATTTTTTTAGATTAATGAACACGATGGATTCATTTCTAGCATAAATTCATTGTTTTCGATGCCGTAGATCGCATTCATTTGAAAATTTGCAAAAAATCAACCCAATGTATTGTCGTTGGTTAGGTAAAGAAACTAGGGGGACAATGATATGGATTAAGTGGGTGATAAAAATTTAAGTTTTATTTTGGCGTTTCATTTATAGTATGTTGCATTCATAAAGTGTTCAACTCTTTTAAATTAACATGTATTTCATTTACGTGAAATTATCAATTGCTTACAGAATAATTTTAGATGATAGCACAGTTATCGTGCTATGTTATAGACAAAGAAATGGCTTTAATATTTCATTGTAATGTAAATATTTGATAAATCAGTATTATCGAAAAGTTCTCTCACGTAAACTTAGATTAATTTCAACGACTATAAACGTGTATATTTGTTGTATTTACAAAAATATATCAAAGTTAATTTACAGCGTTAATATGCAGTGTTATAATGCAAATGACAGTATCAACTACTTTGTTCTTTTTAACAACAGTTTTACTTAAAATCAATACAAAAATAGAGACATGCTGCTTTAAAGGTTTAATGTGTTAAATTTTCACCTTAACATTGTCAGTAACATGTACATGTCTGTGAAAATAGTACGCGGCCTAGTTAAGCACGTGGCAAATATAGGTCAGATTACACGATACGCCGAAATCAGCTGTGAAACATTAGATACATTGAATGATTATAATAATAGAGACGTGTAACGATAATTTTGAAAGTTTACAAGCATATATGTATGCAGGATGTATGCAGGATATTGTATCTTTTAAAAACCATACGAATTTTCATGAATTTGGATTAATTTGCCATATGTATAAAATGATATCTTTACACCTTTGTGAGGTAATATATTTTAATTTAAATTTTTAAAGAAACGTTTCAGTAACATTCAATGCTGATATCGGCATCATCAATATCAATATATTTCGTGCATTTATTAAGTGATTAAACCCCTGAGTTAAGAATTTTTAGCATTTTATACTAGTATAGTATTTTCATGTAAGACATTTGTAGAATTAATTGTACAGCATATAATTATCATTTTTGTTTTAAAAGTCATTCTGTTTTTGTTTTACAAGTCATACTGATTATACTGTATATACTGTAGATATAATAATTTTTAATTTGAATCTAAATACAGGTTTTAATTGTTTTTAACTGAATCCGTAGAATATGGTACTGAATTTATAATTCCATGAATATAATCTATACTGTAAGACTACAAGAATTCTTTAAATTATTATTTAATGCAAGATTCTAATTTAGAAATGGGTAAAATAATGACATATATATCGCTAATAAATTTCTGATTCAGTACGTGTATTATTATATGACGACTTTGAGACTAAATTTATCCGTTCCAAAGGGAGGTAACTGAAAATGTTATTACGTCGTAAAGTTTTGTGCAATATTTTTTCATATTTTGATTGAAATACACTACGTGAGTATGACATTGTATATATTTTTATAAAAAGTATTAAATGATCTTTCATACAGACATAAGATCAATGTTTATTACTTAAGAAATAACGTTAATTTACAAATTAATAATTGAGTAGTTTTCGGATAAGACAAATTCTAGCTGTTAACTTGTTGAAAATAATCGCGAAATAGAGTCATCGTGAGGTTTAATATTTTTGTGAAAATGTCATTTCATAATAATGCAAAATTTGCAATAAAAAGAGATTTTAAAGCTTACTTTAAAATGTGTATTTTTCTTGAATTTATATCTTATTGACTTTAGTTTTTGTTTGTTTATCTTACATATGTCTTATTTCTTATTTAATATTTATTTAGTGTTTGAAATTATTTTTTGTCCAATAGGATTACAGTATATTTAATGAATTGTAACACATTTACTTCGGTTATTAGTGCGTCTTTACAAAATAAAACTGATTGCCTGACCAATTTAGTTTTGTAAATACGTACTAATAAACTTTAACTAATATTTGATATTTGTATCATTATGACATAGAAATATAATTATGATCTCCAGTGATTTTTCTCATTTTTAGCTCGACTTTTTTTTTTTGAAAAAAAAGTAGAGGTATTGTTAGAGTCCTGGCGGCGTTGCTATTGACATCCGCAAACTTGTACTGGATCATAACTGTTTAAGTTCTTGGTGTATTGTCTTCATACTTGGCCACAACAACCCTTGGGACAAGACCTTTCAGTGTAGACTAGGGCTGGGTATTGATCAGAAATTTCCGATACGATACGTATTGCGATACAGACCCGCGATACACAATACGTATTGACGATACAGTACAATGATGCTTCATTGTTAGGATGTATTTTTATTAAAAGTACTTTTTACATTTCACAGATGTCCTGGTGAAATATTATTGAATCTCTCTTATATCTGTTTTAGATTTTGAATTTGTTTATGATGTTATATAATATATAGCAGGTGCATAGGTACCTTAATTAGTAATTTTGAGATACTATTTTGAAAATGACATGATGGCCCCTTTTTTAGATAAAACAATAATTTTGAAAAAAAAAAAAAGCTTTGTTAAAATAATTCAATGCAAAAATATGATAATGTAAATACTAGGAAAAGTTAAAGCAGAAAATAATTAAAACATCACTATTTATTATGGCAGGAGTCTAGTTCTGTCTACAAGTCAACTGTTCTGAATTTTTGTAAAATTTGAAATATATACGCTGAGATAGTAATGGAACATTGAATTTTTTCTAATAAATCATGTTTTTTCTATCTTATATGGTAAAATTACATTAAAAATTGAAATATCATGTAATGATGTTGAGGACTTCATTAGGTGTCGTAATCCGTAATGTACCGGGAAACTAATTTTAGCTACGTCTTCGCGCAGTCACATTTATTTAGTTAGCAAACTACATCTTGGAAAATCAATAAATTTGTAGGATTTATGTGTTAACAATATGTGTTTGATTAAATTACAAGTAACTGTTTGGTCTAATAAAAACTACTGCCGACCTGAAGGTATTTTTTTTCCAGTTTTAGAAATAGGAGATTGAATTGCCGGACCAATTATGTCACGAGATTTATCCGTCATTTTTTGTATTGACATATTCGTTGTTCCACCTAAATTAGTCACTGCAGCCTTCTTAACATTTACTTTAGAGAAATTTCCACACTTTTAACTTTTGTGCTTACATTTTAAAGACGATAGTTTTAATAATTAATGTAAAGCCATCATGTTTATAAGTTACACTCTTTTTATTAGGTTGTCTCCCTTTGTATCGGTATGGCTAAAACCCGATAACCGTACCGTATTGAAAAACGGAAAATCGATAAATACCGATTTACCGGTATATTGATCCAGCCCTAGTGTAGACTAGACTAACCTTGACCTTCATCCATAAATGACCTTGACCTTCAAAGTCAAATGTCCAAATTTTGCTTGTTCTTGCTCCCTTGAACTAGTATGTATGCTACAGTTGCCAATTTTCCCCCTGCCTCTGAAAAAATAGGCGGGAATTCTCAAAAATATGGGTGAATCACTCAGTCCCTCCTAGAATAGACAATATCTATTGTTATGGGCTGAAAATCTAGCAACAGTTCTTGTCACTTGTTCCTTACTCGTAATGTTTATGTCCTACATTTATAATGGATCTCCTATTTGTTTATTTTTCAGTGGCTAGATGATTGAGCAGGTGCAAGCAAGTTGTGTTACACCTACAATGGATGACCCAGTAGGAGATGGGAGTCGCTGGGTCATCGTTTTGGGGTCATTTTTTGTACAGTTTATAGTTTGTGGGATTACTTACAGCTTGGGTATATTCCAGATAGTTTTTCAGGATGTATTTTCAGAGGATCATTTTGACACATCATGGGCCGGATCTATATTACTTTATGTTACAGCATTGACAAGTGAGTGTTACAGTATACATTAGTATAAACATTATAAATAATTTTAACATCTAATATTTCAATAATGTATTAAAAAACAAACAAACATCACAACAATAAAAAAGTAAAAACATATGAAAAATGAATGCTGTACAATAAGAGAAGATATGAAACCTGAAAGTATTGTTTGTTTTTTGTTGATGCTTTTTTGGAGACTTGATCATTTTTAGCTTGTCTGTATCTATGAAAATGTTGAGCTATGAAAATGCAAAACCTTTAATGTTGCCCATTATTTAAACATTTTAAAAATTATTAACATTAACTTAGAATACTTGCCTATCATGACAAGGTGCAGTTATTAGACAAGAGGCATAATTTTGAAAGCCATATTTTTGGAGTTATGCCCCTTACTTAGATTTTTTGTCAAAAGTGACTATTTTAACAGATAATTTAACACCACATGCAGTGCTGTTGTTTCTGTATGAAATCACTTTAATATTTATTTATAGGTGTTGTGTTGCGTTGTTTCATGAGCAAGTTTGGAAGCAGAGTATGTGTGATGTTAGGCGGCCTCATCGCAGCTGGAGGATTAGCTCTATCAGTGTTTGTTACTGATGTTTATCAACTGTATCTTACCTATGGCCTAATGACAGGTTAGTATTTTTATCATGTGCGCAGATATATAGAGGATATTTGTTTCTTTTCAGCAAATTTGGACTACATATCACTTTAAAGTGGGGATTGCTTTATATATTTTCATTCGTAAGAACTCACTGAACAAGATATGGAAAGAGAACACTGTTTAAAGCAGAGTGAGATATTTATAGAATTTCTATAAATATCTCACTCTTCTTTCATTAAGCAGTGGGGTATATATGACTTACTTAAATGTAATGAATATTTTACGTAAAACTTTGATAAGGTAAAGGTCATTGATATTTTTATGTGCCCCTTAAAAGCAATTCATGAACTTTCCTTTTTTGTCCCTCCATGACTTATTAACTCCTATGAGCTGTATGTTTTGCTGGCACTCGGTCTTTAATCTGTTGTTCACAATGTTTTTGTCTGCACAATAGCTGCTTGATTTTCTATTTTATTCAGAGCAACTTGCACCTCAATTCCTTTCATACCATCATATCTGGCAGAGTTATGGCTCTTTAAAGTGCCGCTGATGACATATTTTACCATTGTGTGCTGTAGCAGTTTCATTCAACTTTGTTCTGAATCAGACTAGCATATATTAATATATTCAACTTGTATCACTAGTAGATAAGGTTCCTATTTAAATGTGGCTTGTTCCTATGATGCATTACAGAGTTATGGCCCCATGAATGACCTAAATAGACATATTTCAACTTTTCAAGTAGTTTGTATACATTTCTATTTCATTTGAAGCAAAATCTTAACAGAATTTATATCACTGGTAGATCTTGATTTCTTTCTTTAAAAGAGAAGATTCAGTGGTGCATGTCACAGTTACATTCCCTTTAAAATGCCAGGGCTAAAATTGATTAGGGCTTCCATTATGTTCCAAAATTTGGAAGTCAGAGACTGAAAATGTCTGACATTTGTTGGAAGTCATATTACACTGGAGCCGCGATATAGCGCTCTTCGGTATAGCGCTCATCTCAGTAGAACGCTCATATGCCTTGGCTCCCAAAAAAACAATCGTAAATTTCGCTGATTATAATTTTTTTTTCATGTATATCAATACCGAACCTTATCCACTATAACGCTTGTTCAATGTGTCAGTCAAGTGCAATAAACAGTCATAATTACGTCACTCATGATAAGAAGGTGTGAAGTCATACACAGGTAAGCGTTAATCCGCTCTTTTGTTCATTTTGAACTGTTGATCAGTCAGGTATCAAACTGTTAGCTAAAACATGCTAACACCGAAGAGTTAAGTAAATCACCCAAGCGTACAATTAATTTTAAAAAGCAATTACTTTCGATCTATCGGCAAAAAAGTTGTTGAGGATGACTGATTTTTTCACAAGAGACAGCAGGAAAGACGATTAATTTAGTCCCATCCACTAGGTATCAATTTTCATGACAACACATAACACACGTTAACACCGCTGTTTTACTGGAAATTTATAAACAATTGTACATTCGTGGTTTATATTTTTAATTCGTAAATTTCATGTTTATATTAAAGATATTCAGTAATGCTTTACAAAATAATTAATAATAATATATAAAAAAGCTTGGACTGATATCCATTGGAAGGTAAGTAAACAATCATTTCCACTAACAAGCGTTATATGTTTCGGCGGTGGGTGGGGTAATGCGATATTTTCGCTATAATTACACAATGAGCGTTATAAAAAGTTACTCGTTACAACGCTGACTTGAGATCATGGACCCCAACATGAGCGCTATATCGCGGCTCCAGTGTATATAGGTAAAGAAAGAAAAGCATTATACTCTGGAAGTCACAAGTCAAAATCAGGAGTAAATGACTCACAAAGTTCCGCTAAAGGATGCCCTGATTGATTTTCAGTAAGGTATATTTTTGCAGTCATTACAGGTTGTCTTCTCCAACTGTGGAAGGCTTATAAATTTGGCATATAGCATCATTTTAGTGCCGATCTACATAGTTTGTTGAATGTATATCTGTTGCTTTATTTGTTTGCTGCCTTCCTTCTGTTGTTCACAGTTTATTTCATTTTAAATCAGAAAATCAAACCCTTTTGTTAAATTTACAGATCCAATGTTAACGTGACAGATGATTTTCATTACATTTATGATAAAGAACAAGCAACTTAGAAAGACTGTGTAAACAGATATAATCTTTATAAACGAATACAACAGGATATAAATGTAATGATATCAAAAACCATAAGAGGTCTTATGAGATATCATACTAAGCACATTTATAAGATAGATAGAAATTGAACGTTGGCCTTATGACTAGTATGGTTTTAAAGTGCAGTAGCTGTGTTGTGGTTAATAAAATAATCTAAGTTTTCATGTCCTAATGTCATTTTCAAAGTATAGGGAGGGCTATAGTACAATGTATTAATACCTGCGTTGGTGTTGCTGTTACACTTTTGTTAAGGCCTTTGCGTGCAAGTTGGTATCTACAAAACTACTGAAGTAGCAGATAAATAAAATTTGATATTTTTTATAATATTCCCTGTAAATGAAAAATTTGATATTTTTTATAATGTTCCCAGTAAAATGAATCTACGATGTAACTGTGTAAAAAGTTACTCTGCAATAATGACTACAAACTTTAATTACTTTTGTTTGCTGTTGAGCTTCTGACGTCATCTTTTTTATGTGTGTCTTCTTCTGAGGCTCGAAAAAAGCTATCATCATAATTATAACCCATAAAATAAAGAAATGTTTATTATATCTTGAATATGCTACACAATTGTAAAAATATGGCAATTTTCTCACTTCTCTGCTTGATATAGCATATTTACTAATAACAAACAAATAGTCCTCTATCTTAATGAGTTCTGCATAGGTATTATATGGTACATTGTACAGTGTACAACTTTTTGTCCAGTCTGGAATATAACACAAGCAATCAATGTTGAAAAACACTAGCAAATTTTCCAAAAACTTAAAAAATATATAAGTGGCCATAAATAGTGTAAAATAGAAAATAATGATAATGAAAATTGACAAAATGATTTCACATAAAGGCAAATATGAAAATATATATACATAAATGAAAAATACTGCAAAAAAGAATAATTTCAGATTAGTTTTTGTGTAATGAGCACACATGTAAAATGAGGACATTTTGTGTTTAATGAATACACATAATGAGGTCATACAGATAGTGTAATGAGGACATAACCTATCAGTTGGTATTAGCACTATCTCATTAATCATATAATGATAAAAGGTCATATCTACTATGAAATAAGTGATTAAATATGATATGTAGTTTAAGGCCATGTTATAAAATAAATGACTAATTTTCAGGCATAACCACTTCACTGACCCAAGTATTTCATGCCAGCATTGACCTCTTAATAAATGATGTGCAAAACAACACTTCATTTAATGACAGGAAAAAAAACTTTGTTTATAATACTTCTCATTTAAAAAAACAATAATTTGATCTACTATAACAAATTTAACATAAAAGGAGCTTCATTGTAAAACCATAAGACTTGAAAATTTGACATTAATGTTTGCACTTAAAACAGAAAAATATGAAACAGATAATAAAGAAATAGACTCTGAATGAATAATCATTATTTAGAGAGATTCTTAGACTGATTTGAGTTAAAAGCATTTAAATGTCTTTTACCTTTATGTCACTTTTTACAATGAAAAATGACCATTGATTTCTTGTAAAAAGAGGGAGCAAAATCAATCTGAAATTGTGAACACAAGGTATTTATATAGATTACATCAAATAGTATAAAAATATTTAAAAAATATTTCAAATCTGGTCATGTTGAGGAAGAATCACCATTTTATTATTGTATTAATCTGAGAGAAAAAAACAACTTAACAAAAACAACTTTATTTTGTTTTTTGTTTGATTGGGTTTTATGTCACATCAAGACAGTATAGGTCATATGGCTTTACCTCAGATGCCTCAGATGCCTTCCTTGCATTATTTTAGGCACAAACGGGCACCTGAGTAGAACCACCAACATTCTGTAAGCTACATGTAGCTGGATAGCTTCCTCACATAAAAAAATCCAAAGTGAGCTTCATAAAAACTTCATGTTTACTGATTGGGGACCATCAATCGGACACTTTTTGACAATTTTTCTATACAGATTTCATAATTTCAAACCAAGAGACCTGCAAATTTTACACAGTACTGCTAGGTTCTTCTCCTAACTAACAAACTAGTTTGTTTATTTCTGATTATATTGACACTTATATTTGAGGCCTGCTGTCGAGGGTATCAAAATTACCTTAATTGTCTACACTTCAGTCAGATATGTACATGGCGTGATTTAATGCAGATAAAAGCTAGGGTTTTGTAAATTTTCATTTTTAACATGATATACAATATATCAGCAACAAGTGCTGAAGTTTTGGATGTTCTATTGTTTACTCTGCAAGTGATTATAGGTGGTATATGAGGTCAGGTATTGCACTTCTGATGCCCTCATTTTCAGCGTCAACATTCTTGAAATAGACAATAAAATATGACTGTTTACGAAACTTGAAAAAAGTTTTATTGATTATAGAAGAAACATGCTTGTTGATAAAAAAGTGACAGATATTTCGAAAAACAAAGAACAAAGAAAAAAAAACTAAATTAAGTATTTTCGGGGCTGTCAGGGTTTGATGGTTGTCCGGTTTTGGTGGTCTCCAACCATAATGAAAAAAATGTCAAAGAAAAACAGGAAAACCAGAAATGAGCATTTACATTGTATTCTTTACTGAAGAATAGGGAAAGCAGTTGTACTCACTTTGTTGTTGGTGTCACACTTAGCCCGGTTATGCTTTTGTTAATTTATGTTGGTATCTCCAAAACAACTGAAGGGACTTATTTGAAACTTCACAGACTAGTTTTCTTTGATTGTCTAACATGATGGGCACAGATCCTGTAACTCTAAATTACCTTTTTACAGAGTTATGCCTCTTTACTTACTGTTAAACACTGATAGTAGTCAAGTGCAGTGTCTTACAGACAGCTCTTGTAAAGTATTTTACTCAGGAATGATTTATACTGCTTGCTTTTGTGATTCAAGCAATTCTGGCCTAGTAAGACCGAAGTTCCAATCAGGCCATATTTAAGTTACTTCTAAAATAACCTTGTTATATTATTATTGTATTTGGCCTTAACAATATCTTGCTGGGATAGGGGTATTTGTGGCAAGTAGATAATAGCCATACTAGATTGATGATATCACAGAAGTGGCGTGATGTCAACTGATAGCAGTATTGATAACCTCTCCTTAAAGTATTGCAAATGTGGTTTATTTTGTGTTCACTAAAATAATAGGGTAACAATAACATGTGCTCTATGTTTGCAACAGAATTAGAAATTTCTTATTGAAGTTGTTAATGAACCTTGTCTTTTTCTAAGTTCTTATGTATCAGATTTATAATATTCAATGTCACAATTTTTATGTCCCTGTCATAAAATGGGTCGGGGTGCACAGTGGGGGATGCACAAAGTGTTTTCTTTGTTATTTCATATTTTTAAAACATTATTAATTTCATAATTAGAAGTATTATAAATTGGGCAGAATATGTATATACAATAGTCAATACATGAAAGTTGTAGGCTACTAAATTGTATTTACATGTATTTAAGTAGCATTACAGTAAATACATAATTATGTGTTTGTTGAGATATTAAAACTAGTCTTGTATGCTTGGTTAGCTTTTATGGACAATAAAGATAAAATGAGCTAATTATGGACTGGCTTTAGATTGATTAAATAGGCATGTCACTATATATCCCTTGAAAATCTCAAATTGTAAAATTGCCTTTGATGACAAGCAAGTTTAATTTTGAAGCTTTTTATTAAGAGCTAATATTGGTAGTGGAAAATATAGTTTACATGTATTTCCAAAGAGTTATAAGTTCATTATACAAGTTAAAAACAACCTCTTAAGCATGTATTATTTTTAAGGCCATTAAAATTGTTTTGGTATGTTATGGAAAAATGCCAAGTGGAATACTTTGATATTTATTCTTTATAAGTATTTGAACCCCAAATATATATGAGCCGCGTCACGACAAAACGAACGTAATGGGTTTGCGACCAGCATGGATCCAGACCAGCCTGCGCATCCGCGCAGTCTGATCAGAATCCATGCTGTTCGCTATCACTTTCTCTACTTGTAAAAGGGTTGGTAAGCGGACAGCATGGATCCTGATCAGACTGCACGGATGCGCAGGCTGGTCTGGATCCATGCTGGTCGAAAACGCACTATGTTTTGTCGTGACGTGGCTCATATGTCATATCCTGTTCAGTTTTAACCCTAACCACACTAAAGATTTTAAATGGACTCGCCTATCTTTCAAATTTGGACAAAATTATTTATTTTTTTAGGGAATATTTGAAAATATGTAGATTCCATTGACTTGATAATTATACAGACTAGATTAGTGAACAGTGCAGACCAAGATCGGGGCTGTCTAATCTTAGTCTGCATTGGTCGCATGGGTAGAGTCAGTTGTGGCTAGCATGCAATGAGTGAATATTTTGCAGTTCAAATTAAACTTTATGAGTTATATCGATGCAACATTCACTTATATATCACAGGTAAAATTGCACCACATCTTTAATGTATGTTTGGCACACCATATGTAAAATATATGTGTTTCTTATGTTTTGAAAAAACATGTGTTTAAATGGACTCCACTGAGGTTTAAAAGCCTAAAAATGTAACATTTGAATTTCTTACATACATGAGCTGGGGCACTTTAAACAGAAACATATGCAAAGATAGTTAAGAAATATACTTTGAAATAAATTGAAAATCGTATTTTTATGCTTTTCTTAGCCCGTTTTGAGTGAAAAGTGTTTAAACGTCTTGCATTTTGTGTCATTTTTTTACAATTTGAATAATTATTCCGGAAAAACGAAGTGCACAAATGATCTGAAATTTAGCACACAGATTAGTGCCCTTAACCTACTTCAAATGCTCCATTTATCTGGAAAAAATATTTTCAGTCCCATCATGTCAAAAAACCTCAGTGGAGTCCCTTTAAGATCAGTTTTATTTCATATGTAGAATAATATAGGTTAACCAGGACCATATAAAAAGGTGTTATTCACGTGTACCAGTATGTAAAACATGAAAAACATGTTGCACCATATGTAAAACATAAATTATGTAGTACTTTTCTTGGAGACATCATATGTCTCTAACCATATGTAAAACATATGTTTCACATACATTTTAAATGTGGTGCATTTTATCTGTGTATGCACTTATACTGAATATAGAAAGTTCATGATCACTTTAGGTACACTGCAGTTGAAGCATACAATAAGTCTTTTTCCCACATATTGAACAATGATTATAACTTTGTATGTAGTTAAGGTTTGGATATTTACAATTCATATTCAAATACTTAAATTAATTACCTCCCTTTACAAAATTGACATTCATGTTATATATGTTTTAGCAGAGTTAAACATGAATTTTGACCCCACTGAATTGCATACTGAACTGGTCCTGCGTTAAAATTGGAATTGTCTATTCACTCTATTGTAAGTTTTAGGGATTTAAAGAACAGAATAATAATGAGTCACGCTGTTCATGCTAGCTGCCCTGGCTTGATTCTAAGATAACATATACAATCATTACATTGCTGAATGCACAGAAATTCAAGCCCTGTTAAGTTTTTACTTGTGGCATGGACTAATTCATCCAGAGGATTAGATGTTCTAGTGACGTTCATCCTTAAACTTATCATGAATTCATATGTAATAATTTTGTGCATTTGTTTATTTCAGGTGTAGGGTTTGGTCTTGCCTGCACTCCATCTATAATGATTATAGAGCAACACTTCCACAAACAAAGGTTTCGAGCCATCAGTCTAGCTGTGGGTGGAGTGGGAATGGGTATCATTGCATTCCCATTTATCATTAAACACCTTCTGGAGTACTACGCCTGGCGCGGGACACTTCTCATCCTTGCAGGATTTGCATTCAATCTGTGTGTGTGTGGTGCCCTAATGTTTCCAGTTCACAAAGCTAAAGAAGTGCGATTATTACCATTATTGTCCTGTTTACCTCTCAGAAACCCGATATTTCACGGGCTGTGTATTAGTAATTTCTTCTGGAGCTTCGGATCAACGATTGTGTACATGTATTTGCCAGCTTATGCCATTCATGAAAATACGGACTTAGAAAAATCGTTCCTGCTTGTATCATGTATTGGAATTGCAAGCTTTACGTCAAGGTCTATATTTGCTTTTATGGGAAGGAAGAGTGCATTGGACGATGTGACTGCCGTTCTATGCTCAGTGACTTTAGGCGTCGTTCTGACAGGAGTGTCACCAATGTTGTTTGAAAAATACGCGGGACAAATAGCGTTCACATTGATATTTGGATTTTACAGCGGTTACTGGACTACGTTTTTGTCTCAGATTTCTAGAGAGCTGGTAGGACCAGAGTATATAGCGATGGGAAATGGATATCTCAGCTTTATGATTGCTGTTGGAAGCCTGCTGGGCGGGCCATGTGCAGGTAATTATTTTGTTATATTGACACAAGTTGAGTTGAATTGTCATGATGCTAGTTAAAATATTCACAATATCAATATAGTTACCCTATCTTGAAATAATTCTTGTGATGTCAAAAATTCATAACACAGATGAAAAAATGAATGCATGTAAAAAATCCAGTTCTCTGCGAGATTGGAATTCTTGACTGATATCACAAATAAGTACAATACTTAAAAAAGATAACTGATTCCCTAACCTCAGTTGTAAGGTATTATATTAATAAAAATTCAGATAACTATCATCATGAATTTTTTGCTATGAAAAAAATTTATGACAAAATAGATAATGGGCGTTTCAAATAACATTTTGTTTAGCTTGACATTTTGAGCCAATTTGTGAAATTACCTTTTTTCGATGTATGATAGATGCTTGTATAATTTTAGTAACATTTACAATCTTATCACACTATAACACTTCAACAAGAATTGCTGATTGTACAGTTTGTGTTTTTTAGCTTGTAGAAAGTTTATCATATAAGCTTAGGTTAAAATAGCTGAACATGCATTTTTTTGGCTTAGTTGACAGTTTTCTTGCATAAATTATGTTTATCTGAAATCAGAAGGAATTTCTTAAAAACGATGTGACAAGAAAGTTGAATTGCTTCAACCCAGTCAATCTTATCACTTTAATGTTGAGAATTTGAATAGATTGGAGATCAGAGGTTATGTGAAATTATGATGTTTAGACATTTTCAAAAAGATATGTTTCTACAAAGACTAAAAGATAAACTTTCTAGCTGTTAAAACTCTACAGTAACTAAGTCCTTAAAACAAATACAGGTTAGACGGTCTTCAGTAATCTCCGATTGGAGAGAGCAACAAATAAGGTTACTAGACACAGATGGTAACTAGACACAGGTGATCACTAGACACAGGTGGTTACCAGACACAGGTGATCACTAGACACAGGTGGCTACTAGACACAGATGGTAACTAGACACAGGTGATCACAAGACACAGGAGATCACTAGACACTGGTGATCACTAGAGAAAAGGGGTCACTAGACACAGGTGGTCACTAGACACAGGTGATCACTAGAGAACAGGGGTCACTAGACACAGGTGGTCACTAGACATAGGTGGTCACTAGAGAACAGGGGTCACTAGACACAGGTGATCACTAGACACAGGTGGTCACTAGACACAGGTGGTCACTAGACACAGGTGGTCACTAGAGAACAGGGGTCACTAGACACAGGTGGTCACTAGACACAGGTGGTCACTAGACACAGGTGATCACTAGACACAGGTGGTTACTAGAGAACAGGGGTCACTAGATACAACCCCTTTAGTTTTATCAATAAATAAGTTTTACTTCCCATGTAAAAGCACATTAAAAAAACATTTTTGTATTCATTGTTTTTAGTTCAGTTTTGTGTTATGTTTAGTCAAATTTGGTTTTATTGATTATCTTATATCTGTACAAGTAGTACTGAACTTCTTTTATTCTATGAATTAAAAATCACACTAATAACATAATACATATATATAAGACAAAATGGTCTAAATTAGACAACAACAAAAATGTAGCACTAAACCAGTTGCTTGTCCATTATAAAATTATGTCCCAGTCAACTTATGCCATACTTTACCTACCATGTGTTTAACCTTGAGTACTTCTACCAAAATAAATATGTTATGATTAACTATAGCACTATAGCAAGGTTATAAGATATAATATGCTTGTTATATTTTAAATGAATGAGATAATTAATGTTATACTATATGTTTATATGACATGTGAATACATTATTATGCTTAAACAGGTTATAAATTGTAATGTTGTAGCTCAGTGTATTTACATGTAAGTTTGTCACAATTGTTACATGTTATATAATAATATGCTTAACAGAATAGAACAGAAAATATTTTTCATCATACAAAAAGACACACATTTTGCCATGAGACATGTTAAAAAATAATAATTGAACAATGTAGTAATAGTAGTACATAAACAAAGGGTAATATCAGGAAAAAATGCTAGAATTGAAAGAGACATCGCCAGTTTTGAACCTGGCATCCATTGCTTTCTTCTTATGTGCCACCCATATGTTAACCTCACCTCAACTTCACCCTCTAATGTGTAAACAGCCCAATAGCCCTCTTGTTGACCTGTACCACCTACCTCCACTTATACTACTTCCTCTTTGTTTTTACCCCCTCCCCTCTGCTTTTACTAGTCCCCTTTCTTACACCCCATCAATCTCTTTAAGCTAATACCCTCCAATTTAATACCCTCCAATTTAATTCCCTCCACTTTAATACCCTCCAATTTATCTCTTCCCAATATGCTGCAATTATAATGCTGAAGATACATATGAAGAAAAAAATTGATATAATAAATTAGTTTTTTTTTCAGGCAGAAACACTATATTAAATTATTTATAGCATTTATATTTAAAATATGAATAAGTTATGATTAATACATGTATTATTATAAAAGTAGTATTTTTGTAAATGGTACTGAGGAAATGTTTAAAATACTTGAGAGAACTTAGTCAATTATTCGGTGTAAGTTTGACATTACATCTATAGGCTACTTTATAATAACACTAGATGATATACATGTGGAGTTTTGTCATTTCCTGTCATCAAATTACCAAGTATTAGGTGTACTTTGACCCTTCGTGAATTTTTTCGTCAAATATAGGTTAAAGCTATTATGATACTAATGATAATAATGTAAGGGATAGAAAATTAGTTGGTTTAACATTTGAATATGATATTATGTATATATGTGTATTATACTGTTCATGTTATATCACTGCACAGTACAACCTCTGCTGAATGACCCTCTGTAGAGCAATCACCTCTCTACAACAACTGGACCATTATTTACGATAGTAAGACTACCCAATAAATATCTATCTTTTGGTTTCAGCAGGTAAAGTATTTATAGAACATACAACCCAAAGTTGATATCCATATTAACCAGTATAGTATGCATTACTGGTACATACTTGTTCATTTTTAACCAGGTTTTCCGAAGGAAAAAACTGGTTATTAGATTGAGGTATGTCGGCGGGCGGACGGGCGGGCGGGCGGACGGGCGGGCGGGCGTAAACAATTTCTTCTGTGCGCAACTCCTCCTACATTTCTCAACGGATTTTGACCAAACTTTCACAGAAGCTTTGTCATCAAGTGCCCTGGCGCATATTGTCGGGGTTTTGCGATTAGATAATATTTGACCTAATTATGGCCCTTTGTTTTTTTTCCTTATATAAAATATATAGTGAACAATTTCTTTTGTGTGCAACTCCTCCTACATTTCTCAACAGATTTTGACCAAACTTTCACAGAAGCTTTGTCATCAAGTGCCCTGACACATATTGCCAGGGTTTTGCAATTGGTATATATTTGACCTAATTATGGCCCTTTGTTTTTTTTCCTTATACAGAATATATAGTGAACAATTTCTTCTGTGCGCAACTCCTACATTTCTCAACGGATTTTGACCAAACTGTCTCAGAAGCTTTGTCATCAAGTGCCCTGACACATGTTGCCAGGGTTTTGCAATTGGTATATATTTGACCTAATTATGGCCCTTTGTTTTTTTTCCTTATATAGAATATATAGTGAACAATTTCTTTTGTGTGCAACTCCTCCTACATTTCTCAACAGATTTTGACCAAACTTTCACAGAAGCTTTGTCATCAAGTGCCCTGACACATGTTGCCAGGGTTTTGCAATTGGTATATATTTGACCTAATTATGGCCCTTTGTTTTTTTTCCTTATATAGAATATATAGTGAACAATTACTTTTGTGTGCAACTCCTCCTACATTTCTCAACAGATTTTGACCAAACTTTCACAGAAGCTTTGTCATCAAGTGCCCTGACACATGTTGCCAGGGTTTTGCAATTGGTATATATTTGACCTAATTATGGCCCTTTGTTTTTTTTTCCTTATATAGAATATATAGTGAACAATTTCTTCTGTGCGCAACTCCTCCTACATTTCTCAACGGATTTTGACCAAACTTTTACAGAAGCCAACCCCGTATTCCGTTTGTATTAACTCCCATATAATATTCTAGATCAGACTAAGATGTATGATATTGAAAATCGGACAAAAAATAAAGATAATATTTACACAAAAATTTCTCTATTTTTTGCACTTCAGGAATACTGATAAGAGAGAAGAAAGAGTTCCAGTATGCCTTCTATATGGCAGGTAAGATTAACTGGCCTTGACCCTATATTTAACCAGTATAAGGAGTCTTTGGTCAAGTGGTAAAGGATGCTGACTGTGAAACCACTTGCCCCTCCCCTTACCACTGAGTGACTCTTAACCACTGAGTGGTTCCTCCCCTCACCACAGATGAGCTTTGGATTCTTTCATGTGAGAAAGCTATCAAGCTACCTATTAATCGAAGATTGGCGGTTCTACATATTTGCCTGCCAGTGCCTGAAATAATACACTGTGTGGGATCTGAGTTAATCCTCCACCAGGAAAGATGGAAAGTTGTCACAAGTGTTGATGTGACTTACTATTGCTAGTATATAATATTATATACACACATATCCTTTACTAGCTGTGTTGGTATGACTGAAAAACCAACAAAATATATACTAGTCATACCTTGTCCATATTCTTATTAATTTGGAAGTGGTTTGGTTTTGGTTAAATTCAACAGTCTTTAATATAGTACAAGAAGAAACACTTCATAGAAATGGTGCAAGTCTGGCATAATTAAAATGAAGTCATAGAGTAACTTTATAAGTGAACCAAATAGTACTTGTCTTGAGAAAAATTCTTCATCAACAAATGCTGAAAATGAAAACGTTTTATACTTACAGGTGCATCTTTGATTTGGAGTAATGTGATATTGCTGTTGTTTAAATTCAAACGATGTGGACCACTTCCATCTACTGAGGGTTCGTGTGGACCATCAAAAACACCATTACTGGATGATTCGTACCAATCAATAAAAGTCACGTCTGCCAAAGGGGACCATGTATTAGTGTAAGTATTTCAAGAGGAAAATATTTATTTTTCTCTTAGCTGCAGATTTATTGTGTCGCCGGATTACTTTTGTCGGCGGTGTCGGCATCGTTGTCGGCGTCCCCTAAAGCTTGTCCAGAGCATAACTCAGTCACTTTAAGTTGGATTGACTTCAAACTTGGTATGCATGCTTCTTTCAATAACACGAAGTGCAGTGCACAAGGACCGGTACTCTGCACTTTTTAATTTTTGAGTTATTGCCCTTTGTAAATTTTCATACTTTAATTTTGTCCGGACCATTTCTCTTCAACTATAAAAGCTATGGACATGAAACTTCATATGATGATAGATCTCATTAAGAAGAAGTGCATTGCACAAGAATCGGTACTCTGCATTTCCTAGTTTTCGAGTTATTTCCCTTTGTTAATTTTCATACTTTATTTTTGTCCGGGCCATTTCTCCTAATGTATAACAGCTGTGGACTTGAAACTTCATAGGATGATAGATCTCATTAAGAAGAAGTGCAGTGCACAGGAACAGGTACTCTGCATTTCTTATTTTTTGAGTTATTGCCCTTTGTTTATTTTCATACTTTATTTTTGTCCGGGCCATTTCTCCGAAAGTATATAAGCTATGGACTTGAAACTTCATAGGATGATAGATCTCATTAAGAAGAAATGCAGTGCACAAGAACCGGTACTCTGCATTTCTTATTTTTTGAGTTATTGCCCTTTGTTAATTTTCCTACTTTATTTTAACCAGGTCATTTCTCCTCAAGTATGAAAGCTTTTTTTTTTATAGACATGAAACTTCTTAGGATGATAGATCTCATTAAGAAAAAGTGCAATGTATAAGAACGGGTACTCTGCATTTCTTATTTTTGAGTTATTACCCTTTATATATTTTCATATTTTATTGTTGTCCAGGCCATTTCTCATAAATTATAAAAGATATGGACTTGAAACTTCATAGAATGATAGATCTTATTGATAAGAAGTGCAGTGCATAGAAACTGCTGCTCTTCACTTATTATTTTTTGAGCTATTGCCCTTTGTTAGTTTTCGTATTTCATTTTTGTCCTGGCCATATCTCCTAAACTATATTGTTCACAAGGCGACACATCCGACTCGCGGAGTTCTAGTTTTAAATTAAAGTTATGTTCATTGGCTTTACATGTTTTAGTAATGTATTGTAGTACAGTGTACCCCTTCCCTATATCATTTCATTTGCAAACCATCATATTGTGCTTCTAAATATCATTAGTGATGACAGACTGCCTGTATGAAAATATTTCTGTCAGATTTCTATTGGAAAAAAAATCATTTCATTATGTAACTTAATGTTGATTAATTTTTAGCTCACCTGACCACGAAGTGGTCAAGGTGAGGTATAGTGACGTGGCTATGTCGTGCGTCGTCAACAATTTGGTTGTTAACAGTCTAGCAGTCACAGTTTTGATTGGATCATCATCAAACTTTGTCAGAATGTTTGTCTCAATGAAATACAGATCAAGTTCGAAGATGGGTTATTTCGGGTCAAAAACTAGGTCACAGGAGCTAATAATAGAAAAAGCTTGTTAACACTCTAGTGGCTGCAGTTTTCATCCAAATATTCTGGAAATTTGTCAGGAAGGTTGTTTTGATAATTTCTAGGTCAAGTTCGAAGATGGGTCATCCTGTCAAAAACTAGGTCACAGGAGCTAAAAATAAAAAAAGCTTGTTAACACTCTAGTGGCTGCAGTTTTGATCCAAATATTCTGGAAATTTGTCAGGAAGGTTGTTTTGATGATTTCTAGGTCATGTTCGAAGATGGGTCATCTCCTGTCAAAAACTAGGTCACAGGAGCTAAAAAAGAAAAAAAGCTTGTTAACACTCTAGTGGCTGCAGTTTTGATGCAAATATTCTGGAAATTTGTCAGGAAGGTTGTTTTGATGATTTCTAGGTCATGTTCGAAGATGGGTCATCTCCGGTCAAAAACTAGGTCACAGAAGCTAAAACTAGAAAAAGCTTGTTAACACTCTAGTGGCTGCAGTTTTGATGCAAATATTCTAGAAATTTGTCAGGAACGTTGTTTTAATGATTTCTAGGTCAAGTTCGAAGATGGGTCATCTCCGGTCAAAAACTAGGTCACAGGAGCTAAAAATAGAAAAAGCTTGTTGACACTCTAGTGGCTCTTTTTTTTATGCAAATATTCTGGAAATTTGTCAGGAAGGTTCTTTTGATGATATCCAAGTCAAGTTCGAAGATGGGTCATCTCCAGTCAAAAACTAGGTCACAGGAGCTAAAAATAGAAAAAGCTTGTTAACACTCTAGTGGCTGCAGTTTTCATCGAAATATTCTGGAAATTTGTCAGGAAGGTTGTTTTGATGATATCTAAGTCAAGTTCAAAGATGGGTCATCTCCGGTCAAAAACTACGTCACAGGAGCTAAAAATAGAAAAAGCTTGTTAACACTTTAGTGGCTGCAGTTTTGATGCAAATATTCTGGAAATTTGTCAGGAAGGTCCTTTGATGATATCTAAGTCAAGTTCAAAGATGGGTCATCCTCGGTCAAAAACTAGGTCACAGGAGCTAAAAATAGAAAAAGCTTGTTAACACTCTAGTGTCTGCAGCTTTGATTCAAATATTCTGGAAATTTGTCAGGAAGGTTGTTTTGATGATTTCTTGGTCAAGTTTGAAGGTCTAAAAGTAGGCCACAGGAGTTAAAAATAGAAAAAGCTTGTAAACACTCTAGAGGCTGCAGTTTTGAACCAAATATTCTTGAAATTTGTCAGGAAGGTTGTTTTGATGATTTCAAGGTCAAGTTCGAAGATTGGTCATGTCCGGTCAAAAATAAAGTCACAGGAGCTAAAAATAGAAAAATCTTTTTAACACTCTCGTGGCTGCAGTTTTGATCCAAATTTCCTGGAAATTGGTCAGGAAGGTTATTTTGATGATTTCTAGGTCAAGTTTGAATATGGGTCGTCTTCGGTCAAAAAATAAGTCACATTGCCCAAATATTGAAAAACCTTTTTAACAAACTAGAGGTCACATGTTTGACTCAGTTGTCATCAAACTTGGCCAGGATGCTTGTCTAAGACATTGCTTGGATGCGGTTGATGGGTCAGGTGAGCGATCCAGGGCCATCATGGCCCTCTTGTTTGACATTTCACTTGGTGTCACAAGGTTTGAAGCTATGGTATTTAATGCTGTGTCAGAACTTGAGGAATTCTTTTGGCAGACAATAAATCAACTTTGCTTTTTAACAATAATTTCTGAGGTATTTGTAAATTAACAACAGTGACTACTGGCAAAAGGCCAACCGTATATTTTTCTTCTTTTTATTGAATAAAAAGAGCTTTATACCTGACATTAAAAAAGATATTATAACATATACAAAGAAATGGCTTGAAAAGGGCTTCTTTATAAGTAACGATTAGGAATAATCACTAAAAATCATAATGAAATAATGATATGATTAATCGTAATTAAATTTGTCAATTAGCTTCAGTTTACAAGGAGTTCAGCAGATACCAGAAACTACTGTGTAAAAGGTAGCTTCACATTTGCTGGTGTAGAAGTTGTTCCAATTTCATTTATCCTAATCTTTGACTGACTAATAGCACATTGCAGTTTTATAATTATAACTTCACTGTTCCCAAGTGTGTGAAAATAACAGTGTGATAATGGATGTTTGCTTAATATTTTTACATTTTTATATCAAGGAAGGCAAAATCTGGTCTGTTTAAGCTGGCCCACTCCTTTATTTGTTCATAATTATTATTTTATTGCCAAGTCTAGTAAGTTTTTACTTGTATGTACTGGCTAAGGGACAACCTTGGGCAATCTACGCCTTTAATTTTGCTGCCCCTATAAATGATAACTGTGTTGTAGTACCTTAATGGAAATGGTACTTGGCGTCTAAGGCATATACTTTAATCATGATTATTTTTAAGATATCTCTATATTTATACATAATAACTAAATTTTAACTATAAAATTTTGTATAAAGAATTTCAATTTATAAAGAATTACTTTAAATTGAATAGTGTTGGAATCTATAAGCTTACAAATTCACTCTAAAGTTTGTTCCTAGAACCAACCAGTACTACTTAAGCAATGAGTGTAAAATTTCTTACTAAAAAAAAAAAAATAAGAAACGGTATCTATGTAAAATAAAATCTAACCTTTTTCACATTATCAGATATTTTCAATCAGCTAGAGTTGCTTTCATTAATTTTGCATGATTATTTAACTTTGTCTCAATCAAATAAACTTTTTGGTAAAAGCATTGCATGACCAAATGTTGATTTTTTGTTATAAGAAATTTTCAATCTGCTAATAACTTCTTTTCATATATTTTGCACAGTAACTTTACTTAAGCTTTATTTAATAGTCTGTTAAAATCCTTGCATGGCCAGATCTGTTGTTAATTGGCTGTTTTTATATTTTACAGTGATGCCGTTGTTAGCACCGTGTAGACACCTGCTTTCATTGGTCACATGACTCATCCTGTCACATGACACCTGGTCACATGACTTACTCTCTCATCACATGACACTCCTGTATATAGCGATCATTCCTAGCACATTCTCATTATTTCCATACATCTGCACTGAGATTTAGTACTTGTGCACTTATGTTATAGTGTTAAAACAAAAAACCAACAACACCGGAATTATTGATGACTCATATATGATCAGAGGTGTATAGACAAGTGGTAGATCAAAGACAAGGGCAAAAGGAACATTTAAATTGAAATCATCATTCTTTCAATGAATGACTTATATGACAGTATTATTGCAAATGGCAAAGTAGTAGATTCTAGGACTGGAATTTGTATTTTGACACTTTTTCCAGGCGGTTCTTTTTTAGTTTGCTCATATGATATGTTTTGACACAACTTTTTGCCAATAAAATGCTCTAGATCATTGAAGCAGTTTTGAATATTGAACAGATTGCAATTTTGGCTTATATACTGCATTCAGAAGTTGGTAATTATAAAATGTGACAAAAACCTTCATGATTTAACTTGAGCATTTATTTTTTCAAAATTTATTTATATACAATTTAATTTTTTGGATTAAAGTATCAATGGATATCTCCTAGATTTTAAGGAAAATGAGATTATCAAATTAAGTTCTTAGAGAACTTAAGGTTGTATAACCGGTAAAAAATGTCTACGCAAAGATCTCATTGTATCATAGTATTCCTTTTTGAATGTGTTTTTAAATTTGAGTGTTGCATGTATTGTAGTTTTTTGTTAGTTTGTTTTTTTGAATTCATTAACATAATTCACAACATTTAGTTAAAAGACGTTTTTGCTTCAATTTTAAGTTTTTGTGTTAATGCTGTAAATATGTTATAGTTGTTTGTTTTCACTGCAATTTTGTAATAAGTAAGAAAATATTAGTAAATGAAATCATTTGAGCCGTGTCATGACAAAACCAACATATTGCGTTTGCGACCAGCATGGATCCAGACCAGCCTGCGCATCCATGCAGTCTGATCAGGATCCATGCTGTTTGCTATCAGTTTCTCTACTTGTTAACGGTTTGTAAGCGAACAGCATGGATCTTGATCAGACTGCGCGGATCCATGCTGGTCGCAAACCCACTATGTTGGTTTTGGCATGACGCGGCTCATTTATTGGATATCTTGTGTTTATCTTTTTGTAGGGTGCAGAACAACTGAATTCTACTATATCATTGCCAGATATTAGAGGAAAATTTCTATGATGAATGTACTTTGTCTCTGGTTTGTTACAATGAATTTTTGTCATCATCACATGTGTATGTGACTGCTGAAAATTTGTTTGTGGAGCTGCGTGGAATCGAAAGTTTTAATAGAAGAATTGCTAGAAGATGAGTAAAAAATGGAGTTTAAAATTAATTGTGAGCCAAAACAGTTAAATACAAAATACTGGTAGATAAATAAATTGACAGTAGATAAGTGTAAATGTTTTACTGTTGAAGTGAAATCCTAACCAAGGGTTTTATGTTTTGGAAAGCAGTGGTAAATAGTGGTTTTTCCTAATAATGATATCTAAGTATTCCATGACTTGTTTTTAATCTGCTTATTTTGTTTTTTGAAGAATTCATGTGTGTACATTTATTATAGAAGTTGATATACATTTTATAAACTGTGATTTAATAAGAATATATTGTTATTTTTGGTTTACTGTCTTTATTATATGTGTATATATTTGAATACTTTTGAATGTTTATCATGGTCAAGGCCGTTGACTACAAACCACTTACCCCTCAATGTTCTAGGTTTGAATCACACCAGGGAATTTGTTGTTGTTTTTTTTCATGTGAGGAAGCTGTCCAGCTAGCTAAAGAAACATTGATGATTCTACTCGGGTGCCTGATTTGTCTGAAATAATGTATGGAAGGGCAACCTACCAGTAGGTTTTCCTCCACCATTAAAGCTGGAAAGCTGCCATATGACCGGTTCTGTATTGGTGCGATTTAAAACCCAACCAAAAATGTTTATGCCTACTGTGATTTGTTTAGAGAAAATACTTATAGGTAAAAATTGAAAAATTAATATTTCTAAAATATTTTACTACTGATTTTATAAATTGAGCATTGATTCTGTGTATGTGTTAATGTCTGAAATCTACAGACATTATTCATCTAGTTTAGGATATGGAGTGCTAGAATTTGTTTTAAGATACTAGCAGAAAAAAATTAATAATGATTTACCAATTACTTTTAAATATTAATTCCGAAACATGTTTTATTGTCGTTGCAAATGAAACTTATATACTTGTATGTTATAATTGAAAATTCTGGATTCTTTATCACTCATTTACAGTAAAGTCTTGGTTTATAATCAACCCTTTATTAGTCAGGTTCAGGGTTTGTAAGAAAATCCTCTGAGGTAAAATTCAGATCTTAGGTATATGATAAGTCAGAAACTGCCACATACTGATAAATGAAAATACTGAGATTTGAGACAGAGCTCAGAAAAAAAGTTTTATAACCTCAAGGTCATACAGTCCCTTATCAATAATCTGTTTGGAAATATATGTATAGTTCTCACCCCACCTAATTGTTTCTCTCTTTTTTTTAAGGGGGTAGGGTTAGGTGGGGATAATGTTTATAAAATTATTGTTTGATTATTTGAATCATGTGCTTAGGCATTATATGCATAGTTTCTAGGATGAATGGTAATACTTTTGCATCTTTTTTTAGTATTTATGCATTTTAAATGTTAAGAATACAACATAAATTTGAGTTATTTTGAAAAGTTTAAATTTTTAACCCATTAACCTGCTAAATATCCTGAATTGACAGGTCCTTCTTCCAATCTGGATAAAACTATGTATCATTTTTTGGAAACTTTTAAAAATATGTATTGATGGAATAGCCAGTAGTGCAGACATTGTTAAGACTGCACAGATTTGCCTGCTATTATAAACTTAGTTTGCATTTGTAGAATTAGTCGCAGCCAGTAGGCTAGGGGTTACCGGCTGTCGTAAGTACTGGTTGTTTTGATATTGTTAACAAGCAGAAATTGTAATTTTGATTTAGTTAATGGGAAAATGGTAATTTCATTTTAGAAAAGGGAAAAATTGAGAAGTTTAACTGTTTGTATTCTAGTCAATTTTAAATCAATAATTCATTCATGCTTATATATCACATTTTTGGAAAGTACTTGTTTTGTTAAACACAGTTCACATTGTAATATCTATCATATAGGTGCTTAGTTGATTCTCCATTCTGATTTTTGTTTACTCTAGAAATTGAAACTTAATACTTCATTAAAGATTACCAATTACTAAAATAATTTGATTGTTTATTAGCAGAAATGTTGTAAATACTGTTGATTTTATTTATATTATTTTCTTTTTCTTAAACCACATCTCGCATGTGTCATATTGACAACAGTTAATTGCGTTAGTTAACATGGACTAACATAATATCTAGACACGTGTTAACATGAGCTAACATAATATCTAGACACATGTTAACATGGACTAACATAATATCTAGACACGTGTTAACGTTAACATGAGCTAACATAATATCTAGACACGTGTTAACATGAGCTAACATAATATCTAGACACGTGTTAACATGAGCTAACATAATATCTAGACACGTGTTAACATGAGCTAACATAATATCTAGACACATGTTAACATGAGCTAACATAATATCTAGACACGTGTTAACATGAGCTAACATAATATCTAGACACGTGTTAACATGGACTAACATAATATCTAGACACGTGTTAACATGAGCTAACATAATATCTAGACACGTGTTAACATGAGCTAACATAATATCTAGACACGTGTTAACATGAGCTAACATAATATCTAGACACGTGTTAACATGAGCTAACATAATATCTAGACACGTGTTAACATGAGCTAACATAATATCTAGACACATGTTAACATGGACTAACATAATATCTAGACACGTGTTAACATGAGCTTTCATAATATCTAGACACATGTTAACATGGACTAACATAATATCTAGACACGTGTTAATGTTAACATGAGCTAACATAATATCTAGACACGTGTTAACATGAGCTAACATAATATCTAGACACGTGTTAACATGAGCTAACATAATATCTAGACACGTGTTAACATGAGCTAACATAATATCTAGACACATGTTAACATGAGCTAACATAATATCTAGACACGTGTTAACATGAACTAACATAATATCTAGACATGTTTTGCTTTATTTAGCTTTTTCAGTTGATAGTGAGAAATAAAAAAAAAATTGAATTTTAAAATGCCTCATACTACAACTTACTACATATATTCCCCTAATCTGGTACCTTGGCTACATTTACAATAACTTGGTGCATGGGGAAGGAAATCCACCCTTACAGACAGATTGGACAGTTAAGTGCATTACATGTAATACACGATATATGCACAGCATAGAAAAGGATTGCTTACACGTCATATGACCTCAGATATGATGTCAATAAACAAAATGACGTCAGGAAAATAATTACTACACTCAATGTAGTTCAACATATTTTTATCCTTTCTCTTTCATATTAGCATGTTAGAATGGAAATAGATATATCTATTCCCTAAATATACAACTTTCGGTTTTAGTTTATTATATTCATTTTTTGAACACACAAACACTGTATTACTTTGTTATCAATTTCTACACTTTATCTAGGATGAATGCACACTTACGAGTAATTCACCACACTTCAAATGATTTTAATGCCTGTGGATGTTGCACATTTGCATAAATGATTATCAATTCATTTTCAAAGGGTAACTGACTGTGAAATATGAAGTAATTTCCTATTCAAAACTTTACATAAAGAACAGAGTTTTTTGGGGGGTGTTGTTTTTGTTGCATTTAATGTGAATGATCATGCATATTAAGAAGTGTAAATTAATTGCGAGTATACCACATCAGATGTCTGGATTTTTCTAATTGTTTTTTGTTGTTGGGAGATGATCAAAGTAAGTAAGTAAGTAAGTAAGTAAGTAACGACTTTATTTAACGAGGCACAAGTAATGAACAAAGTTTTGTTAACCCTTAACCAGATGGAACCGAAATTAATTAGCCTCCGCAACCAGTATAGAGCCAGGCCAGGCTGTATGTACATGCAGTCTGACCAGGTTCTATATTGTTGGTAGCTTTATGTTTGTATTTTGATAATTTAAATCCCTAAGACTTTGTTGCACATTTTCGTTATCCCTGAATCACACCAGAGTCTGCAGTTTTCATGTGTTTTTGTTGATTAATGCTTCCGAGGGATCACCTTTCTTTTAGATTTGAATGGACTGTTCCAAATTCAAACAAATGGGTAAACTCATTATATAAATTCAACATGGTAAAGGACTGAATGGTGTTGTAACTGATAGATATTTTATGCATGAACAATATCAGGTATTTTAATGAGATTTAAAGCAATATTCAATGCAACAATGTATATCTGCTGTTGAATGGTTTTTTTTAAGAGTATTTTTTTTTTCTCCTCAAATTTCAACAGAAGGACTTCAGTTGTTAAGATTTCAGCTGTTATTCAAATTTAAAATGAGTTGCAAATTGCATTTCACTTTTTCTTCATCATCCATCTTTCTTGTGATAATAGGTGGGTGATTCAAGCAATAAATGTCAATACCTGTAATAATGATTAGTGGTGCCAGGGGTCTTCATTCTTACAAATTATGTTTTCAGATTGTTATTTTTGTTGCATCTTTTTGTTTACCCGGTACTTAGAATATAATTTTAACAGACTTCTCTTTTTGTTTGAAATAGACTTTATTATGGGATGTTAAAAAGTTGAAATAGACTATAATTAAAATAGACTATAAAAAATTTAATGCTGTTTTATTAGATAATATTGAAAGTATAAAAGACTGTATATTATTAAAAGGTTGTTTAAGAGTATAATTATGTAGTAAATATTCTTCTAAAACTGTAAATAAGACTCTTTTTTGTTTGTTTGTGGTGTTGATTCTAATATGATATACAAGAGACTGTAGTTTAATGAATGAGAAAAATAAAAAGAACATAGAAAAGAACTTTCTGTTTTCTGTCAATTTATTCCCCCACTTTGCATTATCTGTCAACGGGAAGCCTACAAGGCAATGTGGTTCATTTTGTTGAAGCACTTGTATGGTTACTTGAAACCTAACTTGTTTGTAACTCTTTTTTTACGACGATTTTAAACCTGGTTAAAATATAAAAAAAACTGATTTTACTTCTTGGGACAAAAACTTCTTGAAGAGTGAATGATCCTGTGACTTTATAATGTCGGAGAAGCTGTGTATATACATGACATTTATATGCTAAGTCTTAATATATTGAATGAATACTGAAAGCTGATGGATTTCAGCCATGCCTTGTTTTTTAAACATTTCTATAATTGTTCATCAGAAGGATTATATCAGTTTGTCACTTGCAGAGAATTGGTAATTATTTGTCAGTCACCCAGGAAAGCTGGAGAGATGGCAAAAATGTATTAAATTGGTTTAAACACCAGATGAAAATAATTATATTGCACAGCAAAGATACTTGTTTTTTTTTGTTGGGTCACACCAACATATATGGTGGCTTTCCAGGCTAACTGGTGGAAGAACTCCAGAGCTGTCACCCAAGTGATGAATGCCCCGAAAAAGTTTCTTAAGCATGCAGGTATTGTGAAAAGAAAAGAGAATGAAAGTAACTAATTGCTGAATGATGTTCTTTGTATTATTGTACCTGTAATCTCTAATTGTGATAGCATGAACCTTCAAAATATAAGTGTGACCTTGACCTTTGAAGAAGGGACATGGTTCCTGGACGCGACTAAATGTTGCTATGAGATAGACATTTGTGCTAAATTATTTCAAACTCCCTCAATGCATGACAAAGTTACAGTCTGGACATGATTGTTGTGTAAGTGGGGACACACAGACAGAAGGACATGAGCCTTAGCCGCGACACATTGTCTTGATGTGGTAGACATTTGTGCCAAGTTATTTTAAAATCCTTCAATGCTAGACATTTGTGCCAAGTTATTTTAAAATCCTTCAATGCATGACAAAGTTACAGTCCGGACATGAATGTGTATCTTCAAACTCTTCTTGAGAGAATGAGTACCTTCAAACTATAAGTGTGACCTTGAACTTGAAGGTAGGGACATGGGTCTTTGTCATGACAGTCACATGTCGTCTTGATGTGGTAGACATTTATGCTTAGTTATTTTAAAATCCTTCGATGCATGACCAAGTTACAGCCTGGACAGGAATGTGTGTACCTATAAACACTAATTGCGATAAAGTGAACTTCAAAATGGTAGTGTGACCTTGACCTTTGAGGTAAGGATGTGATTATTGGACGCGAAACATCGTCTTGATGTTGTAGACATTTCTGCCAAGTTATTTTAAAATCCTTCCATACATGACAAAGTTACAGCCCGGACACACTAATTGTGTGTCCCTATTAATTCCAATTGTGATTATGTGAAACTTCAAAATGTTAGTGACCTTGACCTTTGAGGTAGAGATGTAATTCTTGGACACCACACATCGTCTTGATATGGTAGACATTTGTGCTAAGTTATTTTAAAATCCCTCGATGTATGACAAAGTTACAGTCCGGACACGAATGAAGTGGGTCAGACGGACAGACGGTGTGATTATATGCCTTCCTTCGGGTCATAAAAAATACCTTTAGTATAATGCACCTTGCTTTATTATGATAATAAAGTGCTCTAAGTTTCATGTTGACATCCTTCATAACTTTGAAATCATTCTACTCCATTTGCAATTTCGACAAAAATTCTAAATTATAAACGGGCATAAATAAAAAACATAGCTTTCAAATTGAAGCCCGGTGTACTCAAAGTGCATATTATCATGATAAGCAAGCAAGTATTCAGAGTTACCTGTGAATAGTTTTATAAAGTGTTTGAATAATGGGCTACATAAAATTTTTGGATGATGTCAATGATTACGCAGCAATCAAAACAGCTCAATTTCAAAACAGACAAACTAACCAGATACATGTATGTAAATAAATCATTGTCTGAAATACATTTTTAGCTCATCTGTCACAAAGTGACAGGGTGAGCTTTTGTGATCGCTTTTCGTCCGGCGTCCGTCCGTCTGTAAACTTTTGCTTTAAATGACATCTCCTCATAAACCACTGAGCCAATTTCATCCAAACTTCACAGGAATGTTCCTTTGGTGGTAACCTTTAAAAATTGTTCAAAGAATTTAATTCCATGCAGAACTCTGGTTGCCATGGCAACCGAAAGAAAAATCTTTAAATATCTTCTTTTAAACAACCCTAAGAGCTAGAGCTTAGATATTTGGCATGAAACATCTTCTAATGAGTGTCTACCAAGTTTGTTCAAATAAAAGCCCTGGGGTCAAAATTGGCCCCGCCCCAGGGGGTCATAGATTTTCCCTATATGCATATAGTAAAAACTTAAACAATCTTCTTTTAAAGAACCCAAAGAGCTAGAGCTAAGATATTTGGCATGAAACATATTCTAGTGAGTGTCTACCAAGTTTGTTCAAATAAAAGCCCTGGGGTCAAAATTGGCCCCGCCCCGGGGGGTCATTGATTTTCCCTATTTGCATATAGTAAAAACTAAAAAAATCTTCTTTTAAAGAACTGTAAGAGCTAGAGCTTAGATATTTGGCATGAAACATCTTCTAGTGAATGTCTACCAAGTTTGTTCAAATAAAAACCCTGGGGTCAAAATTGGCCCCGCCCCAGGGGGTCATTGATTTTCCCTATATGCATATAGTAAAAACTTAAAAAAATTTCTTTTAAAGAACCCAAAAAGCTAGAGCTAAGATATTTGGCATGAAACATCTTCTAGTGAGTGTCTACCAAGTTTGTTCAAATAAAAGCCCTGGGGTCAAAATTGGCCCCGCCCCGGGGGGTCATTGATTTTCCCTATATGCATATAGTAAAAACTTAAAAAATCTTCTTTTAAAGAACCTTAAGAGCTAGAGCTTAGATATTTGGCATGAAACATCTTCTAGTGAATGTCTATCAAGTTTGTTGAAATAAAAGCCCTTGGGTCAAAATTGGCCCCGCCCCAGGGGGTCATTGATTTTCCCTATATGCATATAGTAAAAACTTAAAAAATCTTCTTTTAAAGAACCCAAAGAGCTAGAGCTAAGATATTTAGCATGAAACATGTTCTAATAGGTGTCTACCAAGTATGTTCAAATAAAAGCCCTGGGGTCAAAACTGGCCCACCCCGGGGGTCATTGATTTTCCTTATATGTGTATAGCAAAAACTTAAAAATCTTCTTTGAAAAAACCCAAATAGCTAGAGTTTAGATATTAAGCATGAAACATCTTTAAGTAAATATCTACAAAGTTTGTTCAAATAAAAGCCGGGGGGTCAAAACTGGCCCTGCCCCAGGGGTGTCATTGTTTTTAACTATATGTGTATAGTAAAAACTTAAAAAATCTTCTTTTAAAAAACCCAATGAGCTAGAACTTAGATGTTTAGCATGTAACATCTTCTTATGGGTGTCTACCAAGTTTGTTCAAATAAACAAATAAAAGCCCTTGGGTAAAAATTGGGTCGGGGGGGGGGGGGCTATATACAGGTGAGCGACCTCAGGGCCATCATGGCCCTCTTGTTAAATATGATAGTTATGTTGATCCTTCTTTACTCCTATCAAAAGAATATTTAAAACAAATGTCAGATGCATTTGTACTAAGAATAATATTATTTTTTTAATCTGATATAGGCCTACTCATTAAACAAACAAACAAATAAGTTAAAAAAATTAAGACGCTGAAAATAGAATTCATAACAACATTTTAAGGGTTCACAGTTTTAATATCAGGAAATGCTATCTCAAAATGGAAGCAAAATATGACAATACATTTTGTTGGAATTTTTTTCAAACCAATATTTTAATGGTGAAGTTCAACACAGATGTTTAACATTAGATCATGAAAAAATACATTTCAAAATTAATTCTGGTAGATCTGGCATCAATTAACTATTATTCAGAACAATGTATTGTAATTTTAAAAACATCACTTTCTTTTATAACTTCATACCAAGATAATTTCCCATGTTAATTACTGTCCCTACAACATCACTTCCTTTCATAACTTCATACAAAAATAATTTCCGATGTTAATTACTGTCCCTGTACATGTAACATCCCTTCTTTCAATCATTTCATACCAAGATCATTTCCCATGTAAATTACTGTCACTTTAACATATTTTTTTCAAGAAGTTCAAACCAAGATAATTTTCCGTGTGCATTTTGATAGATATGCCATCACTTCCTACGATAAATTGATACCAAGATTACTTTCCACGAGTATTTTAATCCCTACAACACTTCTTCCTGTAAACTTGTTAATATAAGCTACAAGATAATTTTCCATGTGTATTTTGATCAATTTTACATCATTTCTTTTTATAACTTGAATTCCATGAGTATCAAGTATTTTAGGATTATGTTTTTTTTATGGCCATGGCATCGCTTCCTCCTTTAACTTGATACCACGATACTAATCTGTGTGTAGATATGGCAATCTGTGTAACTGAAAAATAAATAGTGGAATTTTAATTTTACTACTGTTACCAGCTGTAAATCTCATAATTTATCAAAGTGAAAAATACCATCATTCATCTGATGGAACCAATGTGTCTTTTGTGATTAACCTTTGCCACCAGTATAGAGCCAGGCTAGTCTGTACAATAATACATCCATGCACTTAAATTTTCATCGTGATATCCCTAAAACTGCTAATTGGCAGTTTGAAAATGAGTCAGACTAGTATCTTATGAGAAACCCAGCAGGTTAAGGGCTAAATCTATACCTATTGACAAAGCTTTACTGACATGATCAATCAAGTCAACATTGACAACTAACAAAATATGGTAACTAGGATTTATTTACTTACATTGTCTACATCCTTTCATCATGAAATACGCATCAAATCTTAATCTCTGTCATATCTCCAAGTACATCAAATAAGTCCCTCACATGCAGATGATGTAACTAACTCTTCTTGCATAACACATTGTGCCAGTCCCAAAAAAA